GTCAGGTTGAATTAATAACTAAAAATGAAGTGACCTAAAATTTTGTCAGGTTGAATTAATAACTAAAAATGAAGTGACCTAAAATTTTGTCAGGTTGAATTAATAACTAAAAATGAAGTGATGCCGGAAATATCATTCTTCCATTTTCTAATTCCGATTTATAAGGTTTTTTTTTAAAAAAAAATATCAAATTTGTATAACCTGCGAGACCTTTCAAAATTTTTTATAAACTTTATTAAAAATTTGTTCTCTTAAGTCTTATTAGAAGTCGATAGGGTTATTTAAACTTTTAATTTGCTCACTTTTCTTATTTTAGATAAAAAAAATTAATTTATAAAATCAAAAAAAAAATGAATATTCGAATACGATCAAATCGTTTTTTATATATTCAACTTCGTAATAATAAGCCTTTTCAAATTACAATAGCTTTTTCATCATCATAGTCGGAGAGTAATTGAAATCAGTGGCTTAACCTGTCACAGATTACGGACGTGCTAACTATAGATATATGTTGATCATAACGAGTAGCACCATAGCAATATAGCAATATGCGGTTTCAAATTTTTATATTTGAAATAGTGTAAATCCATAGTTTAATAAAGTTATTATATGGGATCTTTGCTAGGAAAATCACCCTTCGGGATTTTCCGATCGGGCCAATTCGGAAAAGCTTAGACCAGAATACCGCTTCTTATTCATATGTAAATCATCTTTTGCTTTATTGATTCGATAGTTTATTAAATAAACTGTCGAACCAGTAAAGTAAAAAAATGGTTTACATATGAATAAGAAGCGGCATTTTGGTCCAAGCTTTTCCGAATTGGCCTGATCGGAAAATCCCGAAGGGTGATTTTCCTAGCAAAGATCCCATATGATTCAATAAAGTTTAAAACTATTCAAATTTTGGCTATGTAAATCAGAAAGCTATTTATATATATACTAGATATTTAGCGAAAAATAAAATAGAAAGACCTTGACATCACTCTCACACTTCATTTTACACAGTTCCGAAAAAGCCATTAATGCGTTCAAAAACACCAACAAAAAATTTCATTTTATGCTCAAAAAACACTTTGATAGAATTAATCAAAAAAACAGAGCCCTCTTAAATCGATACAAAAATCTTTTGGGTTTTTTACTCAACTATCAGGGCGTGACTATTTCCAACTGCTCTCAACTACAGCTTCTTTATAGTTGGGATTGTCGTAATTTCTATCGTAAGTTACTGGAATTACTATAGTTTCTGTTGTAGAGCACAAGCATTTATTTTTTTATTGAACACAAAGTACTATTTATAGCACTAACGTTCTGCTGACATTCTTGACAGACTAGTAGTTTAGAATAGTAGAGATTATTGACGTGAGATTATGCAAAGCTTACAGTATAAAGAAAATTTATCTTTAATATGTCGACAAAACTTTTCACATTTTAAAAATCAGAAAAATGTGGGTGGGATCAAGTTGTGCAGTAAAATAAGAAATTTAAAATTCCATGTATGAGAATCAACAATAAATACATTTAATATAGAATTGCATGAACTTCAATAGCATATCGTAGATACTTAGATCAATAAATATTCTTTATACACGTGATCTATGTCAACAGAATAAAGTAAAATTAGATAGTAAAAATTTGTGAATATAATAGTTTATTTCAAATACTCGTAGGTTATTTGATAAGTATAGAAAAAGCTGAATTCTGGGAATCTATAAAAGTATAATATAGATATTAGAATGAAATTAGCTCATTGAAAACAAAAATTTGAATTGTTATTATAGATATTTAATAAAGTATATAATATGAATAGATTTTTTTTACTTGCAATATTAAAAATGAACGTTAAAAAAGATTTAGGGTGCTCTCAAGCACCTTAATCAATAGATCGGTGTATAAATTTTAATTAATAAAAATTAGCTCAGCCACCGCAGTCAAAAAAAAAGATGGTTAGTGACCATTTTTAGAGCTGCCAAAATTTATCATAGAGTGAGATTATTCAAGCAGTTTACGATCAAATCATTATTATTTTACGATCAAATCATTATTTTTATGATCAAACCTTAATTTTTTTTTTGTCATATCATTTTTTTTTTTTTTTACGATCGAAACATTATACTTTGCACTAAATACACTTCTAACAATATGGATCTTCACTGTCAACAACAAATTACTTTTTTTACTCTTCATGCTAAAACCTAAAAAAAATTTTTATTAATTCTTTATAAAAAATTACAAATTTAATAAAATTCAATATATACTTCTTCATATTTGCTATTAGTTCTATTTAAAACTAAAGAGTTAAATAGTGGCGCAGAAGAATAATGTTGTAGCAGTATATGATAAATTTGTTAAATCCGTAAAAGGAACAACAGGAGTATTGTAATTAGCCGAAGGGACAAATAGAACTATTTGGAATTGCTAAAGAAGTAGCAGAAACATTTGAAGTAGTTGGAACAAATATATTTGAAGTTGTCGGTAATGGTAAATATTTTTTTTTTTGTTTGTTGAACGGTTGCTTTTTTTTTTGTTGGAGACAAGATATTGTGCGTCATCTCAATCACTATCTAATCACACTCAGGAAGATGCTTGAGAGCACCTTTAATATATTATCGATTTGAAAATAATTTGACGTTCGCTGAATTTGTGATCAAAATGAATGTTAAAAAAGAATTTATAAAACATTAATTCTTGAAATAATTTTACTAAGTTGTTGATAAAAAAAAAAAAGCATGTTAAATATGGAATCAAACACTTTACTATAGCGAGAGTGCCTTCAGTAATTCAGGCTATAATTCGAGAACATTCCTGGACTAAATTCAACTATGATCACATAATTCATGTAAATTATTACATTTATAACAGGAGACTTCCAAATTAGTCGCGTGTACCATTACGTACAGAGATAAAAGTGTCCAAAAATGCAAAGCGTGTTTAAACGAAGTTTTAAGGATTAAGAAATTTATCAATTATAGCTAAATTTTATTGGCCCTTAAACATTCTAACTCCTACTACTACCAACAATTACATTACAAGGACTCGTTCAATTAAAAGATACTTTCACAATTCGTTAATACAATCAAAAATACGATATGGTGGAATACTTATACTAAATAGTAATTCCGCTGTTAATGGTCAATCCGAGAATTTCCCAACGGGTGAAGGTACACATTGGACAAAGACATTACGTAATGCTATTAAACAAGTTAAAGATCCTAATATAATATAGAATATTTATTTAAAAATGGTCGATAATAGGAACTTGAAATCCATGAGCGCAAAACTTATTCATAGATTAATGAAAACAATTAAGGAGCTTGATAAAAATCATTCTAGTCGTCTTCAAAAATATATCAAGATATGAAAGAATTTGGGATGTACATAGATCAAACAGAACGAAATTATTTAATAGAAGCTTATTTAGATATTGGTGAATTAGACAAAGCTCGAGATATTTTTGATGAAATTAATGAATTGAAAGCTCCTCTTGGGAAAAAAGTCTGCCCTTATCGTCCTGCTTTCAACATGATGATGGAGGCATATGGAAAACGTACATCTACATTTGAAAATAATCTTAAAGTAACATTTCTTTATTCTTTGATGCATGAGAAACAAGTAATGCCTGATATCTCGACAAAAAATATTCTCGCAGAGATTTTCAAACTCATTTAACTTATGGAGCTATACCATGGTATAATGAATTGATGGATGAGAAATTAGTTGATTCAGGATTAACGAAAGAAGTTATAGCCATACTCCTTAAAAATCAAAAATTAGATGAAGCTTTTCGAATATTTAAAAAAATGAGGACAATTAATCTGATTCCAAATATATATACTTATAATGCGTTAATTCATACTCTTGGTAAACAAGAGAGAATTGATGAAGCATTGGATGTGATTCAAGATATGGAATCACAACAATTGGTCCGTGACACTGCATCCTATAATGTACTAATAAAGATTTATAGTCTTTCGAAAAATTATGAGAAAATACAACAACTTGTTGACGAAATGTTAAAAGCAGGTATAACACCTGACGTGAGGACATTTGGAGAGTTAATGAGTGTATATGCAAAATTAGCAAAGGTCAATTCGGCACTTGCCTTACTACATAAAATGATAAATCTTGGAATTCGACCTAATAGTCATATTTATACATCTTTAATTGAACTTTTTGCAAATATAAATGATACTGAATCTATGGAAAAAATTTTTCATAATATGATAACAGATGGTGTTAGACCTCAAGAAATAACTTATTATATGTTAACTGCCGGATATTGTAATGCAGATAATGTATATAAAGCATTTCGTATTTGTCGAATCATGTTAGAAACGGGTATAGAACCAACAGCTCGTATATATAATGCATTGATATCGCTTTTTGCTGAACGTGGGGATCCTTCTAGTGCATATCTATTATTCAATGAAATGCGTTCTTATGGTATGACACCAGATGTGTACACTTACAACTCACTTATACATGTCAATGTAAAATCTGGTGATTTACGTAAAGCAGAAGATACATTGATGCATATGGAATTTGCAGGAATAAAACCACAAACCGCTACTTATAATATTTTATTACACGCATATGTAGAGAGGAAGGATATGGAACGTGCAAGGGAAATATATAACGAAATGTTAGAATCGTCAATACATCCTGACAATTATACTTTTTGTTGCTTGATAGATGGGTTTCGTGCAGAAGGCGATTTGGAAACTGCCATTAGTCTTTTTAAACACATGGAACATAATTATAGTTTAAATCCTGACGCCCATATTTATACAGTACTTATACATGGTCACTTGCAAAAAGGTGATTTTTTAAGTGCAAAGAATCTTTATGAGACCATGATATTAAGGAACATAAAACCTACATATGTTACATTCGCAGTTCTAATTGATGGTCATGCTCGATATGGTGATTTAGAATTCGCCAGAATACTTGTATCAAAACTGGTTTCGCAACCTTCGTTAGCATTTGGTGATGAACAAACACAAGGTGAATTCTGGCAAGAAAAAGTTACAATTCCGGCACAGGTCTTTACTCCACTTATGGATGCATATGCTAAGCAAGGAAATGTAGATGCTGCTCGGGCAATATTTGAAGAAATGGTAAAATTAAATATTCCACGTAATGCTCATGCATATACTATTCTCATGGATGCTTATCGTCGTGTTCATAATCATGAAGCTGTTTGGCAAATATGGAGCAGCTTACGCGAAGATACGTTGTCGGAAACTTTATCATTATCAGAATGGTTTGAATCACATGTGTCGAGATCCATACCAATGGATTCATTAAGACCATCACCATCAGAAACGTTGGAAACTATGAAAACACCATCATCGAAATCTTCATTTTCAACATCATTATTAGCAACATTTGACGCGTCATATAGTTCAACTACAAAATCGAAACCTCCATGTCATGCAGTTTCCATTATGATAGATGCTCTTACTGCCGAAAAACAATATGATATTGTTCAACAAGAATGGGAGCGACTTGTTGAAGAGCGTTTCGATTTCGATTCTCACAATTGGAATCATTACGTTCAAAGTCTAATAACTTCTGGAAAAATCAAAGACGCTTGCTATATTATTGACAAATATTTGATGAACGGATGGTATCAACAGATGGAAATTTGGAGACGTTTTGAACGAATTCGATCTCCACAGGATTTTCGGGAACAAAAAAGACTTCTGAGCCTTGTAGAAAAATTTCCACATCAAAAAACATTACTCATGTTAGCTGAAGCATTTGAAGAGATGAAAGAGAAAAATTGGCTCGTTGCGAGGCAAGCACAATCTGCAGCAATGTTGTTACTGGATGAAATGGAAGGAGAATTTCCGGATGTAATGTTTGCAGCAAAAGATATGGCAAGATCAATGAAATGGCAAAGAAGAAGGGATGAATTCAGAAATACAAACAAAGGATACTGGTGATCATTTAAGCAATCATAAAGGTACAACAGAGGATGTGATCTTAGCTAGTCAGTCGTTTACACGTAACTCTGGTTATAATGATGCTGTCTGAGATATTAATAAAAAGTTTTCAAAATGTCATTACAATGAGTTGTACCGACATTTTATGAAAAAAGTTGGCATATGTCGTTATATCTAGTGACTTGAATCGGTTAGGCTATAATCGGTTAATCGACCCGAACTGAATAAATTTCGGGTAACTGGTTGAGGAAATTCTTAATCGGTTGACCCGGTACAGCCGGTTGAGAATTGATAATCGGTTGGCGGGGTCGATATAGTATGGAAATGACGTAAGGAGAGAATAAAGGAACCGAAAAATTTCGAAGAAAATGAATGAACATAAAAGACGAGCAAGGTTGAGACAAAAATTTGAGCAAAGCTCTGAGAGTTCTTAACCGTTGAATGAAATAATTCGGTTCGGTTAACCGATTAAGAAATTTTTCTCGATTCAAATCACTAGTAATGTCTTATAGTCAGAGTGACGTTTATTGCAAATTTTATGCAGGCTTAGAAGCTCACGAAAGCTGATAGGTGATGCCAAAAATTATAATATATATTGTGTCTAATTTAAACCTTATTAACTTAAAATAATATAGGTTCCGGTAACAATGCTCTAAGGCTTTTAAACTTCTAATTTCTTCTGGATACATAAGGGTACGTTATCTCTATATCTTTTTAAGTTTTAGTAAACGTGATTGTCTCAATATCATAATAAAATAGCTTAGCATTATAATAATGATCTCCCTTTCGCTAATCCCCAATTCGAGTTCCGTCCTAAAAATATAGACTATGCCTATGAGATTTATAGCATTCAATTTGCGGCTGGTGTTAAACTGCGCACGACGAAGCAAGTCGTATCCGCTCAAAACAAACTATGATAGATCGACACCTTTAGTGATAGTTTAGCACAAATGTGTGTCAGTTCGACGTAGGTTGTATCAAAATTACTCAAGATAACGGATGGACACGAAGTGTATCGAGACGACACAATATACTTGCCGACAAAACCCCAATATATTATAAAATTAATTTGTCTACAACAGTGTTGAAATCTTATGTTCTCATGAGAACATGAGAACATTTCTTTTAATTTGAGAACATTTATTAGATTGTTCTCTGCAAAATTTTTTTTTAAGATAAAATTTAAAAAACATGTTCTCTATATAAATTATATAAAAAAAAATTATAAAAGTAATTTAAAGTAATTTTTCTTAGTCTAAGTATTTAAATTATCCATAAATATTTAAATTTTGGTGACGGATCTCATTTAGTATAGCTAGGCAATACAGCAATATAGAAATATTATAAGATTATAATATAAAAAAACTCTAACTCTAGTCTAATAGCCCTCACTCTAACCCTAGCCATTTATAAATTTGTTTAAATTAGTTTAAATAGTTATTTTTATATATAATAATTCTATATTGCCCAGCTATACTAAAGAGCAATCTCTAATAAAAAGAAAGCTACAAATACCTAAAAACTTAAAGCTGTGCTGATCACATGATATAGAGCCAATAAAATTGTTTATTTTGATCGACAGATTAGCTCAAAGAGGAAAATAGCAAAAAAAAAGTGAAAATCGGTGTCTAAGCCTATTTCAAGTTATTAACAAGAGCAATTTTATTATTATAAAACACTTCCTAACCCTAGCCTCAGATAGTGATTTGAACTGAGAAAAATCGGTTAACCAAACTGAATTATTTTATTCAAATAGTTGTCAATCAGTTGAAATTGACTCTACTTTTTGTATTATCGAGAAAATTTTCGAAGCATTGCTCAAATGTTTGTCTCAACTTGTTCATCTTTATGTTTATTCATTTTCTTTTCAGAACTTTATGAAGCCTTTGTTTCCTCCTTATATTATCTTCAAACTATATCAATCCTGCCAACCAATTACCTAATCCTCAACCAGATATACTGGATCAACTGATTTCAACCAGTCAACTGAAATTTATTCGGTTCGGGTTGATTAATCGAGTATAGGCTAACCGGATTCAAATCACTAGCCCCAGGCTAATTCACCCTGATTTTAAAAGTCAAAAAACATATAACTGGACATGGCTTTAGACATCTTCAAACTAGGATATTGTATAAGTATACATAATAACAATACAAGCACCACTAAAAAGGCTCTTATGTAGAAAAAACCAGATTTATATCTGATGCAGATTTTTACTAAAAGTGCTGGTAATCATATTCCAACATTTGGTATTTATACCTCCCAATAAAAATAAATTTTTTAAAACTTAAGCAAAGATATTGCGACTATCATCTGACCAAATCTGATGAAACATTTTTTATTTTAATTTTATAAATTTATAAAAGAAAATTTTATTGAATTTGATCAGGTGGTTGTTGAGATACCTTTGCCTAAATTTTAAAAAAATTTGGTGTAGCAATAGATGCTTTGATTTTTCTCTAACTATGAGTGAAGATAACTCGAAACCATTTGGCCAAATTTGATAAAAAGTTTCTATGAATCTATAGAATTCAAATAAAAAAAGTTTCACTGAATTTGGCAAGGTAGTTGTTGAGATAACTTTGCTCAAAGTTTAAAAAATTTTGGTGCAGCTCTTATTTTTGATAAGCATTTTGATTTTCATCCAACTTTGAGTGAAAATATATTGACAATTACTTGACCAAATTCGATGAAACATTTTTTTATTTGAATTCTATGTTCCATAAAAAAATTTTCATCGAATTTGATCAGGCAGATGTTGAGATATCTATGCCCAAAGTTAAAAAAAGATTTGGTACTTTTTATTTTAATAGGCGTTTTGTAACTTTGAGTAAAGATATCTTACTGACAACCTGGCCAAATTTGGTGAAAATTTTTTTATTTGGATTCTATGAATCTATAGAATTCAATAAAAAACATTTAATCAAATCTGTTCAAGTGATTGTTAAGATATCTTCGCTCAAAGTTAGAGGGAAACCAAAACGCCTATTAAAATTAGAGTTATGTTAAATTTTTTTTAAACTTTGAGCAAAGATATCTTGACAACTACCTGACCAAATTTAATGAAGCTTTTTTTTATTTGAATTCTATAGATTCATAGAATACAAATAAAAAGATTTATCAAATTTGCCAAATAGTTATCGAGATAACTTCGCTCAAAGATAGAAAAAATCAAAACGCCTATTGCTACACCAAATTTTTTAGACTTTGAGCAAAGGTATCTTGAAAACCACCTGATCAAATTTGATAAAAATTTTTTATTTGAGTTCTAAGAATTTTAGAATTCAAATAAAAAAAAGTTTTATTAAATTTTGTCAGGTGATTGTTGAGATATCTTTGTTTAAAGTTTAAAAAAAAATTATTTTTGGTAGGTACAAATACTAAATGTGTTATTTGCTCTCTTTACTAATTAAATAAATCCGAATTAAAAAAAGTGAATCCAGTAACCAAGAATTTGTATGTACAGTAAATTTTCTATAAGTGCATGCCCTCGGGACCAGGCATGTATGTGCACTTGGAGAGGGTGTGCATTTAGAGATTAGTCAATAAATTTAGTACAGATTATTACAGAATTATAATATTAATATATATACTATATAATTAACCTTCGACCATTCAATATTTCTTTAATATAATTCGATATCGTATTTTATTCTTACTTTGATGTATAATGTATAATAAGTTCAAAGTATCGATCATTTCATTTCAAACCTTAAATCGGGTTATCACTATCATAGATCAGTAATTATTTTTTTTTTTTACAGCAGTTATGTAAAATGGTCTCTATTTGGGATTTGAAATGAAATAATTATCTGAAAAATTATTTAATATCGATATTGTAGCAAACTTAAGATTCGCGTATTACTCACTATTGTTACCAACTGTTTCCTGAATAAGATAACTACGCATATTGATTGACTAATTTTAATATAATATATCCCCAAATATAATACCTGGTTACCCACCTAAATTTGATTCCAAATCAACTTTATAATTTAATATGTGCGAAAACTTATTATTAATTTCTTGTACTGATATTAGCGGAATTAAAATAAAAATCAAATTATAGTTAGATTATCTTTGTTAAAGTTTAAAATTAAATATTCGAACGCTTTGTGCTTATTCTTTTTAGCACTCAATTTCTTTATATTAATAACTAGTGGTGTGAACGCAATGCTGTAATTGGTCGTAATATTTTCACAAAACTCAATTAGATTGTGATCCAGTAATCCAAATTGAATGGTATCAAAATCATCCAATTCGGATTACTGGGTCACAAAGTATTCGCAAATAACGATTCAATGAATTACGGCAAAAATGCCGCAATTCAGCCGTAATTCATTAAATAGCCTTTCGTGAATATCTTGTGATCTAATGATCCGAATTGGATGATTTGGGTACCATTCGATTCGTCTTATCGAGACGATTCGAATGATATTAAATTATCCAATTTGGATTACTGGATCACGATATAATTGAGTTTTTGTAAAAATAAAAAATAAAAAAAAATACGACCAATGCACTATTAATGACTAACCATAATTATTCCATCATCACCCATGACTGAAATATAACTTGACTTGCTTCCAAAAGCGTATTTATGTCAATCGTTAGTACTTTCACATTAGTAAAAATATAGGATAATTTGGGATAATTTGGGACAATTTAGGAATTTTAGGACATCCAAAACAAATCTTTTTATTTTAGGATAATCCGAAAACCAACTTTATTACCCAGGAAGTGAAATGGTGTGCGCAAATACGTTCTTTTAATTGGTCACACTTCCATGATATTTTGTATGTTCAGTGCTGTAGATGTAGACCATTTCAGCATTTATTTTCAGTTATTAAACCAGTTATCTTATTTATGCATTTATTCTACAAAGGGGACGTTATTTTATGTGACATTACAAGCACAAGTTATGTCTCATTTTTGCTTGGTTTATTTCTCATTTTGTTAATTATTTAGCTTTATTTGATTATTTTGATTTATCATGTTATACCGGTGATTGTCTAAAACTCACATGATTGCAGTCTTCTTTTTACACGTAATAAATATACTCAAATTTAACCTATCATTTAATGACGGGTCTAATATCGAGCCCTCAAATTTCAGCATCTTAATTAACGAAAGGCGAAACTAGGTTTCGTATGAAACCTCAAGGTTTCGTCTAATAACTATACCTGTGCCTGTGTCTGTACCCATGTCTGTGCCTATGCCCGTGCCCATGCCTATGCCCGTGCTCATACCTATGCTCGTGCCTGTGCCTATTCCCATGCCGTGCCTATTCCTGTGCCCATGCCCATGCCCATGCCCAGGTTTTTGTGCCTATGCCCATGCCCATGCCAAAGCTTTCATGCCCATATCTATGCCTGTATTTTTTGTTGGGCATGGGCACGAGCCCGGGTTGCAAACTTCTACAAGAATGTATTTGTGGAAAAAATAATATGTATGATCTTTATTTTAATGGTTATCTATATAATAATTATTTGTAAAGCAATTTTGATAGAAATCAGCAGTGGATTAACATTACATCTACTAGAAATGAGTGCTGCAAATCGAAAACCTGTAATTGAGAGTTTTCCAAAATTAACTTTACAGATCAAACCCCGAAAAACACAATATGATTTATGTTGTGCTTAATTTAAATTTATCAGGAGTCGGAACAGAAAGCGGAGCCGGCAATGACCGAAGTTCCAGGTTTTCGCTTTGCAGCACTCAAATACACTCATGGATGAACCATTTATGTGCTAAATTTAATAAATTTAATATTGGTTTGATTGAATTTTCAGTGGTAGTTCTAGTGATCTAAATAATCTTAGGATATTTAATGCATTACCCATTTTAAGCAATGCACTTTCGCCTCGGTCTTATTACCATGCAATAACTTTACCAATCGAAAAATATCCAATTCAGCCATGTATTGCCAATGAATAATGTAAGTGCTGTCTTTTAATTTTCATTGAGTCTTAGTAATGATTGTAATTTATATAGAATTAGCCGATAAAAATCAATTTAGTCGGATCTTGGTTTATATATACAGGAGATTTAGGAAAATTGAACAACCAACCAATTTTATTGGTGGAAATTTTCGGGATATAGGTTAATTACATACCGATACTAAAGGCGATCGGCTTTAAACATTAATATTAAGGATCATCTCGTTTGAAAAATTGGTGTGGAGTAGCCTACTATCTAAATTAGCACTTTAAAATAGATTTCTGAAGTAGCTACTTTAGTATTACTTAAATTAGTGTTTGTAGTCGATTTTTAATTTTTATCAACTTAGCCGGCTTAGTTACCCGATTTTCCAAAATCGACTTAGTCGATTTTATGTTAGATTATGTTAAAGTGCCAATCAAATTCGATACATTACCTCTCTTAGTACTATTTACTAAGAGTAAGACCGAAAAATTCTGAAAAGAAGATCAACGAACATAAAATACGAGCAAGGTCGCGACAAAACGACAAAAATTTGATGAAATCTCCGATAAATTCCGAAGGTAAAAAAATATTAATCGACTCTGACTTAGCCGAATGTTAAGTATCGACTTAGTCAAGTCGATAAATAAGGATCGACTACAAACACTAAATATTTAAAGTAGCTATAGCAAAAAATACACACAAAATCTGGTCTATTACCCTCCTATAATATCCTCCGCTGTGCCCCTGATAACTAGAAACGGCCTGATGGTTAATTACATAGAATTAATATTTAAGCCCATAATTCAAGTGAGATCATATATGTAAAATTTTGAGACCCTTTTTTTGTAAAAAATTTCGCGTCAAAAAAAAAATTAGAAATATACTTCGCGTAAGGTTACATTCCACAAATCATATGACTTCGCGTGATGTCTCATCCTGCCAAATTTTGAGTTTAGCGGATCATATACAGTATTTTGATGACAGTTCAAATTTTTATTTTTTGTATCTGATAAATCATAAAATTTTACTTGTGCGAGATATGAAGGTCATTTATGCGATGATATCATCATCCTCTGCGAAGGTAGTCCTTGCCAGAAAAATGGCCATGTGATTTATGAATAAAATTTAAATTTACCAAACATCCAACGATCCAACTTGAATAACACTTTTTTTTTTTTAAACAAATTGATGAACATTGCTCGGCCGAACACTTTTACCGACTGACTAAGCCTTAGTCGATTAATTTCTTAAGTTCATTCACTTATACATTGGTAGGAATGGTTATTAATAAAATCGATTAGTTGATCTTTAAAAAAAAACAAATCAATCGGCTAAGTCAATAATTTTGCCTTAACCGAATTTTTTATTATTGACAAGGATCATTAAACATTACATCATGTTACCAATGAAATTAATAAATGAATTCAGGAGAGTCAGAGAGCATTTCATATAAAGATTGAAAATCTTTATGAAAGATTTCCAAATATCCAGTTGGCACAACTTAATATTGCCTAAAACAATTCGTTTATTGATATTTCAAATATTATTAATGGTCATTAATTTTCAAACTTTAAATATAACAGAACCAATTACCATCTTTTCCTTAATATATATGTGCATAAATAGTTAAAATATATACGTATTAATAACATAAATACAGATGTCAAACCAAAAGTTATGGAAAATTCAAAAATTTCACATTATTTGGTAAATAATAACAATGGGAAACAAACATTCTAATAGAAAGAAACTTTATGAATCCGATGAAAAAGACATAGAATCAGTATGAAGATTTTTTTTTTTTCGTATATAGTGTATTTATTATTTATTTATTTTGTTTAAATAATAGCTATACCTTATATTATTTAGACGAGTGATCGAATGAATTTAGGGCAAAACGTTATGAGAGAGATATGGCAAGGGAATTTCTCATCACCAATTGATGATGTTTTAAAAAAGGGAGCGCGGGTTCTGGATGTTGGGTAAATATAAATATAAATAAATATATATATATATTTTATATATTTTTTATAAATGTTTATACAGTACTATGCATTTCGTTCTTTCGTAACACAACTTAAGAATCTTATAGTTCGGGCACCGGTACATGGGTTTGTGAAATGGCTGCTGACTATCAAAAATCAGAATACATTGGAATTGATGTTTTAAAACTTCATCCAAATATAAAACCATTTAATGTCCAATTTATTCAGCATGATATTTTGAAAGGATTACCATTTGAAGATAACTCGTTTGATTTCGTACGCGCACAGATGTTGACATTCGATATCGCAGAATCTGATTGGAAAAACATTGTATATAAAGAATTTTGCCGTGTTTTAAAGCCTGGTGGTTGGTTAGAAATGGTTGAACTAGAATTGACATGGTATAATCCTGGGCCTCTCACAACTCAACTTTATAATTCTGGTAAATAGAAAATTATTGAATTTGAAATTAATTGATATTAAATCTGTTTTAATTAACCAATTCTCATATATCTCATATATATGAATGCTCATAGTACATGACCGATTTCGTTCCTCAGGCATTGACCCTTTGTTAACAAAGCGACATAAAGAATTAATGTTATCAATGCCAAATTTAACTCTTGTACAACAAGAAGAGAGAATTTATCCTCTTGGCTCATGGGCAGGTAAAATTGGAATATTAGCAGAAACATTCATAAACGACTCTTGTCGAAACGTTTTATCATGGGCCTTTCCTAAAAAGGATATTGAAAAAACGTTAAATAAAATGAGTGCGGAAAGCGAAACGTATAGGTCCTATCTTATAACTTTTAGACTTTTCGCGAAAAAGACATAAATTATCTTTTATTTTGCATGTACTGTATAATTCACGCATCCGATCTTTATAATAAATCCATGTTAACGATCTACTATTCATTACCTTTGTGACTATAACTAAATTGTAACTAGTCTATTACAGAAATTACAGAAACTACGCTTGGATATTTTCTTGGATCGTCAACAACTCTGTATAAATTTAGTTAACTATGTAGCGGTAGTTAATTAATGCTTGTCAATAATAAGAAATAGACCTTTCTTTTTCCTAAATTAGAAAAAATATTTGATTTTCAATTTTTCTTTAAACACGCCTGTATGCGTTTATCATGGTATTATTAGTAGGAGTTGTTTGTTGTTTGAGACTTTGCAGTATCAAGTTAAAAGAACTGAAATCATGCAATAGAAAATTTTTTTTTATGAATTACTAACGGTCTTATGGAATAATTATTGTCTGTAAAATTTACTAATCTACACTATATATATATATATTTGAGTTAGATAAGAACGCGCGTGAATTGTCTGACTTTATTAAAAAATCTTTATACAGTAAATTGCTCAAAATAATAAACACTTATTGATACGTAATAAATATGAAAAAAAGAACATAAATTGTGTACTGTATTATCTGTTCTGTTATGAAAAAAATAGTTTTTTCTAATAGGAGCCATATTATACAAAATATCCTAGAAATGTAAAATTAATTTAAAATATCATTTGCCCTTTAAATAGTATCAATAAAACCAAAACTTTTAACTAGTTAAAACTAAGAGATAGGTTCTTGTTTTTCAATCTGTTCATCAATCTGTTCATGCTTATCAATCTGTTGTTCCCTACTATAAGCTTCAACTATAGTACCGAAATAAATCTATAAAAAGAAAAAAAAAGAAGATTAAATAAGTAAATAAATAGAAAATTTTCAATAATAAACTAAATATTTACATAAAATATAATATTATACACTTACAGAAAGTAACAAGTTAAAAATTAAAAAATTTACAGATGACCATAATAGGAACAAATTAACACCTTGATTACAAGCTTTATTAATCACAGACTGATCAGGTGCATGTGGGTCATAGGGAATCGTTGAAGTACTAGTATTTGAAGGTACTAAATAATTTATATCTTTTTCACAATCTGCGATTATATCATTACGCCATACAAAAGAAAATATCAATTCAGTCAGGTGCAGCAATATAAGAAGAGCTACCGAAGACCAAAATAATCTTGAGTAAGTTTGTAATAAATTTGGATTTTCCTTAAACTAAAAACCAGGAATTGAATAAGAATTAAAAGATTAAATCAATTAATAAATAATTTTAAAAATTTATATAATTTATTTTAAAAACGACATACTTTAGATAACGTATAAAAACCAAATACGGCAACAGGAATCACCAAAACGTAAAGAGCACCAAAACTTATGGTTGCGGCTTTTGGTAAATGAGACACATATGCTATAATTTAAGAATTAGTGAACAATCAATTAATTAAATTAATTAATTGAATTAATTGAATTAATTAATTGAATTAATTGAATTAATTGTAAGATTATACATTTACAATGTAGAAAATAAATAAATAAATAAATAATTAATTAATTAATTAATTACCTTCAACTCCAGAGAATCCTATTGCGGCGTTCCATATTGCATGTAACTGAATACATAAAATACGAATTGTTAGTAATAATTTAAATTATTTTTTTAAAAATATCAATTACCTACCAATAACAAAACTGTTATAATTATTACACCTGGGCGAAGTTTAATGCAAAAGCAACATAAAGTTGGTCTTTTTACAAAAATTCTATCATGTAAATGCTTTTTTCCTTTGCCTCTTGCTACACTTTCCATTTTGATATAAAACCGGTGATTGAAATATTCCCTTTCCGTTTTTCGGTCTAGATATTTATATAAATTCGTAAAATCTGTGATACAAGGTTTAGAGGCAAGATTTAAACGTGTTGTACTTAATCACATGGCATACAATTACGGCATTGTAATACTTGATACTATCGCTATGGAAATTACATATAGAAAATTTTACTACACTATCATGGTCAATGTAGCTTCAATGCCCAGTTTATTATTTATTATTGTTATTGGTGAAATACATTTTTGTAAAAACAATAGTGATCCAATTCAGTAAAGATTTTCTAACGTTAATCGGGTTTAATTAGAAATCCTGCTATAAGCATGTTGCGTATTAGTGCTAAGGTCAATAACGATAACAATAAGGTATAGCGATAGATATTACTAAAATTCATGAAGTTTTCTTTATAAAATGCAAAGGGTTTCATAAGCAAAGTTTTGGGTTATCAGTAGAGATGCGCGTGGTATCAAACAAATAAATATTACTGTTGTTTGTAATTGATCAGAAGTTACAAACCCTTAACATCTGAACATAGAGCTGTCCAATCACTAATTAGAAATGGGGGTGAATTTTATTGGTTAGCTCGTACTATTACAGTATTACATGAATTAATTTAAATGGTTAAAAGTCACTTTCGAAATTTATTATGTATAAGCGTAAGTAGGCAATCAAAATTTAATATCAGGTATGTACGTACGTACGTACTTACGTACGATATTTACATAATAACTGAATATGACGACTACGTATAAAACTGTGTATTTTGAAAATTATGCATATGGATATATATATATAACCTATATATACATGTATATACTAATAATATGTATTATAATAAATGATATGATCTCTGTCAAATGAAAATGCAATGATTTTTTTCTATCTCAACGATTCATTTTTCGTGTTGATAAAGTGTCTTTTTGTGATTTTTTTTTAAAAAAAATTTTTTCTTCAATAGAAAAAGGGTATCGGTAATTTTTTACAACACAGTGTTATTTCTCTGCACATGATAATGCATTAATAACGTAACGGTCCTAGATCGTAAGGTACCGTGACATGATTGAACATGGCTAAACATGATTAAACGTAACTTGACACGATTGGACATGATTAGACATGACTGAACATGATTGAACAAATTCGTCAAATAGCTATAAATCATGTGATCGACATCCTGTCTGTTTCTCTCATAGAACGGAGTCTCGTCATATTATTTAGAGTATTTTCTTTTTCAGAATTTTTTAAATTTTCTTCAGTGTTCTCGACAGGGTTACCATTACGTTGACTAGAGAACAATATATCTATAAAGATATTCATAACTAGAATGAAAGATGTAAGAATTGACACTATGAATTGTTGAAAGAAAGAGGATCTTTGATTATCTGAAGAAGATGAAGATGAGATGCTCCCACCGGCTTGATTTTGTTGATGCGACGAAGATATTTTTATCACAGTTGAATCTCTCTTTAATTGGTAAGTACCCTCCCGCCAATCTACAGTAGTTCCAAATACAGAATAAATATAAAGAGGTAAAGCTGTAATTTCACGTATAGCCCAAGCCATAATGAAACCTCTTAAAGTTTCTACATCAACTTTCTTTTGACTTAAAGTTTGAAATAATTTGAGATCAATCCAAAACCATAAAGAAAGATGAAAAGCCAAGAAATTTAAAGGATGAATATGCCATAAAAGATTAAATCCATAAGACGCACAAAGACCACATAATATTGATTCTATAAAAGGTTCAACTATAGTAGCAGCAGTGACAGTATATTTTCTAATACGTGTCCATCGAGATCGACGTAAAAAATAACCAGTGATAGACATTGAACCAAGTGGTTGATAAGCTAAATCACTAGTCATTTCATGTTTAAAACCTTTTTGCCAAAGAGCCTTAGCTAATAAATTATCTTCAGCCATATATTTACCAAATTGAGCCAATCCACCGATACTTTCAATATCACTTTTTCTATATAAATTTGATTTACCCACAACACAACTATCAGGACCAATAGCATTAATAGCTAAATACATTTTAGCATGAATAGTGTCTATAAATAACATTTCTAATTCCGAACCAAAAGTTTCAGGACGTACAGCAAATGGAAGGTGATGAACTAAACCAACACCAGGTTGACATAATTTGTCCACGGACCTTCCAAGACATCCAAAGTCAACATAAACATTAGAATCTAAAATCCAAATTATGTCATATTTAACAGATTCGTACGCACGAATCATGTTATTTATTTTTGGGTTAACGCCAACATCTCGATCACCTATTAATAAAAATTAAATAAATAAATAAATATATATATATATAATATTAAAAATAATAATAATAATAATAATTTAAACAAACCTATAATTAGTTTTGCATCAACGTTTGGAAATTTTTTCATTAATTTTTGCACTACGGCTATAGCAGGATCATTATCATTCGCCACCGAAAAGATAATTTCAAATTTTGGATAATCTTGTCGAAATGAAGAAGAAAGATTTTCAAATAAATTACAGTCTACGCCTTTAAGTGGTCTTATTATAGATACACCTGGAACTTTATTAACAGGTAATTGTGAGGAGAGAGATTTTTTAGAGGATTTTTTAAATTTTGTACGCCTAAAAAGAATTAAAAACAATTAATATAATGTAAAACAAAATAAAAATTTTTTTTTTTTTTAATTAGTAAAAATTAACTAAAACTTACGCTGCGAGATAACCCAAAGTAGATAAAATTATTACAAAAAACCATATTGTAATAACTATTATCATTAGAGTCAATTCGACCCTTGTAGAAGATTCCCAGACAGATACATGGTGACGTTTAAAACTTTCTTGACCATAAGTATATGTCTGCATAATATATTCTTGAACATCTGAAGGAATTTGTCCTTGATATTGTTTAACAAGTCGAAAAAAATTTTCTTTACCCATTTTTGGGAAATAGATTTTTTTCCTTTTTTTTTTTAGCGGGGATCAAAGGTTTTAAAACCGGTTTTTTTCCTGTGTGTACAAGAACCAAAAACTTTCAGTTTGTATGATAGAACGAGTTTATAAATAAGTAAAAAAAAAAAAAAAGTTGGCATATACGTACGTATTTTCTTTAAAAAAAATAAACTAGAAATAACGATAAAATTTTTTAAGATACATATAATAATATTTTTTCTCAATATACGTGCAAATAAAAATTTCTTTTGAAAATTCTGAAAATATTAAATACAAATATACAAAAAAAAAAAAAACAACAACGAATAAAATACGTAAAACAAGAATTAGTAGAGTTTTAAAATACGTACGATATGACAAATTTGTTATGCGGAACGAAGCAGCAAATTTATAGAAAATAAATCAACTGATAGGAGAATTAGGAAAATTGTATCACTTATAATATTAATTAAAAATATTTATATAATATCACATATTTATAGCTTATAATTTATAAGCACGTATGAACGCCTCTGGCTCAAATTAACTCTGTGATACATCGCACTGGCCGGAATAGGATGACATTGCAAAAGTAGAGTGAATAACTAAAGTAGGAAGAATTTTGAGGATTTACTGTGGAGTTGTGAAAGGTATTTTATATTACAAACAAAAGTTAACAAAATTGATTCATGTTTTATTTTTATTTGTATATTTATTATAGTAAATTTTACATAACACTTTGAAAACATTACTCTTCTCAGAGGTCATAAATAACTTTTATCGTAGCAAATACAGGATTTGCACTAATCAAATATTTAATATATCAGATCATGATATACAGTAATCACGCACAAATTAATGATTGTTCCTTTAATGTACTGTACAGTACGTAATCGCGAATATCTATCTATTTATATATATTATATTAATCATTCGTATCTAATATTTATAACAAAACTATTCTCTTTATGCGTTTTTAAAGAATTTTTGACAATGAAAAGCTTTGAAACTGCGAACTACTTATTACTTTGTCTAATTTATAATGACCAATCACAATCATTTTTCTTTGACGTTTGATATCTATTTTTGGTATTTATTATCCAAAATCTTTGATATTATGTCTTAAACAAATGTATATCGATATATTGTATTCATATTAACAATGCTTAACAGTTAATATAAACCTCCAGTTCTTCATACAGGGAGTTGTATGTATATTAATTTATAAAGTTAAATTTATTTAAGTTTAATTAAAAGAAAGCAAATTATGATTTATTCATATATAATATAATATAATATATATATATATATATTTGTGTATATATCGATAACATCATATATACCAATATGGAAATTATCACTAGTTCAAATAACTATTTATTACGTAATTTTACTATACATGGATAGATAGTTTAAACACTCCCGTGGGTACAGATCGATAATTCAGTAAGACTTCTTTACGAATTAGATAATTAAAAATTACGATCAGCCTTAACTGCATTACATCCATTATGATAACGTGTAACTCCATGATCTGATTGCGTCATGTTTATACGCCGCAAATAAACAAGGATTACGTTCCGCTTTTAGAAGTGATGGATTTGCAGGGACGAACTAACGTTAGGTGACGATTAGATTTGATAATAAACGAAGACAATTGAAAGATCTTGTGTTCGAAAATTTATCATAGAACTTCCGAACGGCGCCGATGTAATCATTTCAAATACAGTTAATTCGATACCCCGTTCGGAAAAGATCTTCTTTTGATTATAGATTTAACGAACTAAAGTTTAGATAACGTATGTACTTACATACGTACGTGTATACAATATCAAGACATTAAGTATGAATGAAATTCTAAAAAATATATTTGCTGGGTAATTAATTTTACCGATTTTTAACCGATGGTTGTGCCATACTAATACGGTATTAAACTTTTTTATAACGATAATCATTCATATATCCAATTTAGAACATCATTCAAAATTTTTTTTTTGGATAAATGTTATTAGCATACGTATAGACTGTAAATATACTGTATATATATCTGATATAATACGTATACCGGTATCCATTATCACGTGAAACTTTACTGCTGTACTGTGTAATCCATTAACGTTAAAATTTGATTATTACAGCTATATACTGTATATCGATATTCTAAGAATTTAACTACGTAACTTTAACCCTCTTATTTTATTATAAATTTTTACTCAAATTTTAAGGATTAGGTTAAAGCTAGAATAGGGTTTTTTGAGTTATAGTATTCTTTAATATATATACGATATTTAATGTATAGTTTTTTATTACTGTATTAAAGTTATAATATAGCTATATTATTAAATTAATTAACTTTTTCAGCAAATAAGTTACTAAATAAAATATTTAATTAAAAAAGTCGTGGTTTTTTAATTCTTATAATTATTAAACTTCAGCGATCGCAAAAAAGATCTGGAAATAATTGTTCATATTGTATTGGTTTTTAATTCTTATAATTATTAAACTTCAACGATCGCAAAAAAGATCTGGAAATAATTGTTCATATTGTATTATACCCTTCATAATTCAAGAATGGCCAATCCATTGTGATTAAACAAATGCTACAAATTGAAATCCCAGATGATCGAAGGCGGATCGTCCATATAGCAATTAAAAACGGTGTCAAATATTAAATAGATTAGTATAAGGCTGTATAAAGTAAATTTTTTGGTTCTCATAACATAAAATCTTTAAAAAAAGTGACCCACCACACTCGGCTTTTAATTTTATTTTTAAAAAATTATATATAAAAATTTTCCTAATGCTGATTTTTACTATTTTGGTTGGAGATGAATGCTATTAATATTAGCATTCAAAAATTATTGAAAACGGGTTGAGGTATAGCGCATCACTGCAGACAATCATCCATTATCTACCGTTTAATGATATTAGGCTAATCCAATTTCGATAAATCGAAAAATGGTTTATCCATTCCTAAAATTACGGAAGAAATTGTTTGCTAAATTTAGTAAAGATGGTTTAAATTCAATATTTTTAGCTGAGTGATAGATGGTATACGAATAATTTCAGATAAAAAAGAGTGATACTTCATACAAATATAAAATAGTTAAGAAATTATCTAGCTTTCAGAATTTGTCAAATTTTTTAATATATCGATATACGGCGCATTTGTAAAATACCCCAAATTTGAAAATTTTGACTGCTAACGCTAATACGTAAATAGTAATTTTGGCTAAGATAGTCAATGCTTTCCGATTAAGGCGCGTCATTATAATAAATTTATATGTTTAGTGAAATCTGTCAAAGAATGGGGGCTCACACAGCACTTCCGATGTACAGGGAAACACAAGCAAAATTCCCGGAAAATCATTTTACTAATAAAGATAGATTATACCAAGAAAACATCCGAAATAAAACAAATAGATCGCCTGGCGCGATACAAACATAAAACCAGAAAAATAAGTGTTACAAATAACACGTCGCGATAAGA